AAGATATATATATATATAAATTAGGTGTTATGCTTGTAAATCTTCTTAAATGAAAAAGAATGTAAGATTTTAAAATTTGGTGAAATACATAACATTGAATTCCTTAGAAGGATTTTTTTGGGTTTATTTTTAACAGCTGGATTATGCACGTAACATTAAAATATTAATATTTATTAATAAAATTTGTCTACTAATCACCGGCCGTGTCCAATTGGCCTGCCACCCTAAGTCGTTAGCCATGACATCAGTTGTCCACCTACCATCAAATTTATATTAATTTTATTTTATTTTAAATCTTACATAAAAACTCCTATATTTATTTTACATTTAATTAAATATTTTTAATATATTATATTTCAATTATAATAGATTTCTGCTCTTTTCTTTCCGTATAAAGCAAAACCGAACGAGCCCTTAAATGTAGTTTAAAGGGGAAAGTGCTTTGATTAATTTATTTAGATCAGTTGACTTTGTAATTGATTTATGTTTTTGGAAGGAGTAGGGTAATCGGAACTTGGAGTTGGACGGTAGTTTGCTAGGGGAGAACCCACAAATTACGCCGCACCTTTCAATAACAAAGTTGCAATATTTATAAATGTATGATCAATCATTTCATTTGATAATCTTCTTCATTTTTTTTTTGTTTTACCCACCGAAAATAATTGGGGGCTCACCTAATAAATTCATTAAGACTTCTTATGAGAAGAAGATGAAATTCCGTTCCATTGCAGTATATGCTAATGCATGAGCAAAACTTTTATTTGGTAAAATAGGTCTTTTGAATGCCTCTCAATTTTGTTTTGCAAGAAAAAAAAAAGTTTTTATCATTTTAGATTGCAGACTACCTTTTCTGTTCGACAAACCTGGCTTTTAAAAGATTTGCACTGCAAGACGAAGTTCTTTCAAACAAAACCTAAATAAATCATCTGAAGAGGCTAAATAAATAAATATGATATTTTTAAAAACAATAACACATAAATGCTTAAAATATAACAAAAAATAGCCCAAAAAAAAATTGATTAAGATTCTTACAGCAAGATGTAAATTAAGGACTTCATCTAAGGTTATCCAATTTAAAAATCTATTGGCAAATACTACAATTCTATTTGTCTTAGGATCAAATTTGAAGCAAGTCAACAATCCAAATGTCGTCACCCATATAGCATAAATAGTCCAAGCCGCAACCACTAAAAAAAAAAGAAAAAAAGAACAACATTATTAAAAAGCAAGCAACTAACAACATAGAAAGCGTCAAGACAACACCCTCAAGCTAAAAATATATATATAAATTTTATTGGTATCCAATAGAGATTTTTTACATTGGAAGAGCGATAATAGAATATGTTAGCCTTGACATACAACTACAAATATAGGCTTCAAAGAAGATTCTATGACAGTATTAATGTGGTTGAAAATGATATCTGATTGGGTCTCATTTGATCAATAGAATTTCATCATTACTCAAAAAAAAAAATTCAAGAGAATGTGCATAAAATAATGCTTGTAAAGACCACTTCTACGATCAAAGTATTCATAAGACAAGGTAGAGACTAAATCGAAAGGAGCAAATATAACTAATATTTGAGAGACTTGAGAGAGTGAGCGAAAGAGAATGAGAGGGAATGATATGCTAAGTAGATTATATAATGCATGCCATGAGACGTGCAAATGAATGGGAAGGGAGGCAACCTCTTTGCCTTATTTATTTATTTTGGTAAGGAGACCTCCTCGGCACCCTCCAATCCTGACCCATTATCTATGTGCAAATCAAGGGGGAGGTAGGGTGCATGTCCTCCATTTTAATTAGATAATATTTTTTGTTATCTAGAATATTGTAGATTCTTGTTGTTGAGAGTAGAGTATCTATTAGGTATGACTCATAATACCAGGATTTGAAGTCTCTTGGAATGAAGAGATGTCTCTTGGAATTGAAGAGATGTGTCTCTTAGAATTCAGTGGGTTGAGATCAGCAATGGTGCAGCAGAAGCATGATGGCCTAACCCACATTGGTGCAGGTGTAACTCCCAGGTATCTTTTCTCCTAAGGGGCTGGATATTCGCCAAGGTGGAGATTTGTTATGGTATGGCTCATATACCATATGGGGACAGACGCTGGAACGAAGCGGAGCGGAGCGGAGTGAAAGAATCTGTCCAAATTGGGAAGTTACGTTATATCGGTTGGGGCTATACGGTACAGGGGTAATTTGGGAATTACATATTGTACTGCAGGGCTTACTCTAGGATTATAAATAGACCTGTTTGTAATCCTAGGTCTGTGAGAGAGCTGAATATTCTATTCTGTAACCCTTTTCTGAATAGTGAAAGGAATCGCCGCTCTGCTCCCGAGGATGTAGGCATCTTTGCCGAACCTCGTTAAATTTCTGTGTTCTTCTGGATTTGTGTCGATTACAATTTTTCTTCTCCCTAATTTTCTCAACAAGTGGTATCAGAGACTGGTTCGAGGGCAGGTGAATATTTTCTCCTAAGGGGCAGGATGTTCGCAAGGTGGAGATATTTTCTCCTAAGGTGCAAAATGTTCGCAAGGTGGAGATATTTCTCCTGAGGGGCTGGATATTCGCAAGGGGGGGATTTTCTCCTAAAGGGTTGGATATTCGCCAAGGTGGAGAATTATTAGGTATGACTCATAATACCAGGATTTGGAGTCTCTTGGAATGAAGAGATGTCTCTTGGAATTGAAGAGATGTGTCTCTTAGAATTCAATGGGTTGAGATCAGCGATGGTGCAGCAGAAGCATGATGGCCTAACCCACATTGGTGTAGGTGTAACTCTCAGGTATCTTTTCTCCTAAGGGGCTGGATATTCGCAAGGTGTAGATTTTCTCCTAAAGGGTTGGATATTCGCCAAGGTGGAGAATTATTAGGTATGACTCATAATACCAGGATTTGAAGTCTCTTGGAATGAAGAGATGTCTCTTGGAATTGAAGAGATGTGTCTCTTGGAATTCA